GTCAGCCTTGGAAATGGTCATGTAGCCAAGCCGTAGCTTTCAGAGAAGTGAAGAAATAGCTACCATCCTCAAAGGTGTTGGTACTCTAGCATCTCAAGCGAGATCTGGTATTAACATGTGACGCCTCTCTGTATGGTGTCGGGTTAGTATTAGATCATAGTGGCCCAATGGAGAGGAATGCCCAATTGAGTAAGCATTCAAGACTTTGGCTAATGTAGAGCGTAAGTATGCCCAGATAGAGAAGGAAGATTTGGCAGTCATATTTGGAGTCAGGAAGTTCCTCCAATAACTTTACAGATGTTAAATTTGTAGTAATAACAGACCACAAACTCCTGCTAGGTTTACTTAGAGACAAGGCAGAGCCACCCATCGCTTCAGGTTGAATTCTGCAGTGCACTTTCATAATAAAGGCACACAATTACAAGTTGTATCACCTTCCAGGAGGCCAAGTAACAAATGCAGATGCATTAAGCTGCCTCTCCCTGGAAGATGCACCACCGGTGGTGCCCCTGGTGGAAGAGTCCATAATAATTTGAAATTTTCTGGACACACTTCCAGGCACGGCTGACAATATCAGACTTTGGACATAGAAAGCAACCACAGAAGGTTAGTGTGCATGTACAACAAGTAATCAAGAAGACTTGTGGGATGCTGTGCTATATGATGAAATGAATTGAACATGAACATAATGAACAAATTGAGGATGTTATGCTTCAGTTATTCAGGGCATTAGTGATGTCATATCTGCAATACATTGTGCAGTTTTTGTCTCCTTATTTAAAGAAGGATGTAAATACATTGAAGGAAGTTCAGAGGTTTACTAGATTAATACCTGGAATGAGTGCATTGACTTATGTGGTTGGGTTTGATAGGCTGGGCTTCTTTCCAGTGGAATTTAGGAGAGTGAAGGATGACTTGATTGAAGTGTATAAGATCCTGAATGGCCTTGGCAAGGTGGAAGAGGAAAGGATGTTTGAGTCGGTTCAGTACAAGAGGGGCACTATGTTAAACCTGGGTGTTGCCCTTCCAGGATAGAGATGAAGAAAGTTTTCTCTCTGGGATGGTAAACTGAAACAGCTGGTGGTAATGGGGGAAAACAAAGGGCTGTCACAAGCAGAATTGAAACCTTTCTGGATCCGGAGAGACCAGATCACAGTAGAGGACAGCATAGTATTATAGAGACCAAGAGTGAATATCCTTAGCAAAGTAGCTGCTAGATACTGGTTGCACTCCAGGGTCATCCAGGGGTATCCAAAATGATGATGTTGGTGAGATGTTATGTCTGGTGGCCAGGACTGGACACAGACGTAGCTGCATCAATGAGGCAGTGCCCAGAGTGCCAACAAGGACAAAACTTACTGCCAGCAGCTCCCCCACATACATGGGACAGTCCAGGTAAACCTTGGACTCTGTTACATGTTGACTATGCAGGTCCTTTCATGGGCTCAATGTTCTTAGTCACTGTGAACGCTCATTCAAACTGGTTGGACATGCATAGAGTTCATTTGTCAACTAAGGAGAAGATGATAGAAAAACTGCATGCGTTTTTTGCTATACGCAGACTCCTGGAAGTGTTGGTCACAGATAATAGGCCATAATTCACCAGCAGGGAATTTGAGCATTCCCTGAAGTCTAATGACATTTGTCATACAAGAACAGCTCCATACCATTCATCATCCAATGGTGTGGCAGAAAGAGCAGTCCAAACGTTAGAAGGCAGGCTTAAAGAAACAGCTTACAGCTTCACTTGATACCAAACTGTCATGGTTCCTATTTGGCTGTAGGACCACCCTACTGCAACTATGGGGATAGCTCCAACGGAGTTAAATCTCATCTTTCCAGAGTTGGTGGCGGAGGATGAAACATCACCAGGAATGCCAATGCTGGAAGCAAGACTCTTAAGTGAGAGAGACAGTTTACTTCAGGGGACGAAATTTGCTGTAGGAACCACAGGAATGGCCTGTTTGGGTAAGAGCAATGGTTGATGCAAGATCAGATGCAGTGACATGTAAAATTCAGGGAGATACGGTGGTCCCGAACAAGCACTTGGACCATGTGAAAACTGCAAACTTGCAATTGGGGCTGGAGCAAAATGTGTCTGGCTCCTCAACTGCCTTTAGACTTTTTGGGAACTCATGATACCTCAGAATCTGCAATAGTCATGGTGGATGTTGCCACCTTGATGCCTTTGCTGCATGAAGAAGATGCTGTAGGCATAAGAGGTGAGCTACTGTGCATTACACTCTGCCTGCATCCAAGGCAGAGCGGAGGAATCTGATCCAGTGCTAAAATGCCGCAGGAGGAACTGCAAAAAAAAAAACAGTCTGTGTCCTCGGACTCCGAGGAGGAGGCATGTCGTGATTGTGGACCTCATAGATTATAAATTCCCTAATCGGGCCAGATTAACAGCCCCAATCGGGGAGCCCTGGCTGACAGAGATAAACAGGAGTGTTAGAGGTTCTGTTCACTCTGAGAGCTGCCTCTGAGGGAACTGGATTAGTGTAAAGGCCTTTTGTGTAAATAAAGGGTGACTTGGTGTTGAGATACCTGCCTCTTTGCAATTATTTTTGTTTTCCTTCCCCTCCCCATCAACAGTCTGCATTACAAAAGACCAGTCAGAATAGAAGTACACATCCACATTTCTGAAAGATCCCTAATCAAAATCTCCTCTCAGAAATGCAGAACTCCCTTCTTTCATGAAAATGAAGGACCAAAATGTCAAACTGCCTAAGATTGCCACTTCTCAAGATCTGGCCCAATATTGTTTGGAATGTCTTTCCTGTTGGCTTTTTGGATTCACCAGGTGATATGGACAGCAGAAGTTCAGGAAATCAGCCAGTCACCACTTTCTCCGGGGAAATTAGATCAATAAATGCTACTTTATCCAAGGATGTCTACATTCTTTGAATGAATGAAAAAGCACACCCCGCCTAAAGTGGACATTCATACGAAAATAGGATTTGCTAAAACAGAATACGGTTCATCTACTATCCTGGTGGTCATATGCTACCATGAGAATTGACTTGCATACAACAGTCACACCCTCTCAATTAGACTAGAACACCACCAGAAGTGAAGTGAGGAAAAGTCCTGGAGAACTTTGGGAACTATTGGTGCAGAATCACCTTTCTCCTTACAACATATTAAACTTTTCCACAGCCCAAGTTTCATCTTAGTCATATGCTGTTATCTGATTTTCAGGTCACGTTCATCTCATCTGAGTTGGTGAGATGTGGAAATAATATTGTGGAAAGTTGATTATGAGCAGGACGTAAAAGAAAAATGCAGAGGCGAATTACCTCAAAATGCAGTCTTTCTTCATGAAGTTAGACCCTTGAATTTTTAGCAGTGACTTAGCAAGGAATATCCTGTCAAAACAAAGGCTTGTTTTTTTTTCCTTAGCATGAAATAAAAATACTATAAACATTAACCTCCCTTCTATTTGATTTAAGTAACATTCCCACTATTTTTCTTTGGGTTCTTCTATCAAATTTGAATTGACTCATTAAAACTTCATGCAAAAATAATGTTGCCATTTATAGCCAGTCCAAATCTCTGCAATTAGTGAAGCCTTTGTGAATCATTAGGTTAAGATATAAAGTTTAAATGCAGTTTTACACTGGATCATCATATTGTTCTCTACTTCTTTCGATTTCTTTTTGAATAGTCAATTAGAACCAGATGGCTAACAAGAAAAATTGTCCTGAGCTTGTGCACTACCTAGATCTGACTTGTTCTAAATTAATTGCTGGAAAATAAAAGATTTTAGCTAAATAATAAACAGAGAAAAAAAAACTTGTAACTAATACACTGGAAATCTATGATAAAGGCTCTCTAGGCTTTGTGCATGTGGTTCAAGTTACCGGTACCTGGCTACAAATTTACCCTCTCCCTGTTAGCCCTCTCTCCCTCCCTTGCAGTATATACAGAGCCAGTGCTGGCAGGCAGAAAGACTGACAGCACCAGCTGGACCAAGAATACGGACTGTGTCTTCATCGTGGAATAACATCACAGCTCAGGATCTGGTTTCATTCCAGTGGTAAGCAAGTGCATGGGTCAAGTTCAGATTACATGGGATTTTGTTTGTTCATAGTTATAGTGCTCTTTGAATACAACTGCCATCATTTGGACTTCTAAATACTTAGAGAAATCCATAAGTTATACAAAAAACTTAGCAATTGTACAAGGTTTTTGAGGACATTTGTAGCTTGGGTTGTTGACGTGGTTGTTGACTTGCTCGCTGAGCTGGTAAGTTTGTTGACAGACATTTCGTCACCATACTAAGTAACATCATCAGTATGCCTCCAGAGAAGTGTTGGTGTTCTGTCCTGCTTGCTATTTGTGTCTTTGTTTGCTGGGGGGTGTTGGTGACATCACTTCCAGAGTTGTTTCTTAGTGGTTGGTATATGGGGTCCAGTGTACATGTTTGTTAATGGAGCTCCGGTTTGAGTGTCAGGCCTCTCGGAATTCTTGTACGTGTCCTTGCTTGGCTTGTGCTAGATGGCTACGTTGTCCCAGTTGACTTAATGTCCCTCTTTGTCTATGTACATTTCAATACACATGGACAAAGAGGGACATCAAGTTGACTGTGATAATGTAGCCATCCTAGGCCAAACCAGAAAAGACACGCACAAGAATTCCTGGAGGCCTGGCACTCAAACCGGAACTCCATTAATAAATATGTACAGCTGGACCCCATATACCAACCACTAAGAAACAAATCTGGAAGTGATGCCACCACCCGCCCTGCCCCAAGTAAACCAAGACACACAAATAGCAAGCAGTACAGAACACTGCGCTTCACCGGAGGTGCACTGATGATGTTACTTAGTATGGTGACGAAATGTCTGCGAACAAACTTACCAACTTAGTGAGCAAGTCAACAACCGTAGTAATTGTAGCCCAACCCATCTAGCAGAAACTGGGTGATGGCACTTTATCAACAAACCTACCCACTTGGATCCCAAGTCTTTCCTACCATTTCTGATTTTAACTTGCAGGCGGATGAAGCAACTAGGCAAGAGGTGCAAAATCAGGGATCCATTATGTCTATACTCTCCTGAATGCATACTCACTGGGTTCTGAGAAGAGATGCTGAGGCTTTCTCGCCAGGTTGAAGCAGGTTGGCAGATAGAAAAGGCCCTTTCAAGGTAAGTGTGAAACTTTCCTTTATCTGCCAGGAAGAGCAGGAGAGTTCTTCCACATCCCACAAGTCAAGTCCTGGTTTTCCCCCGCACTCCCAGTTCCCTTCCCCTCACTTCCCTCTCGAAATCCTCTCCCTACCACTTAGCTGTCGACTAGTCAAGGGTCTCTCCATCTTTGCTTGCCAGCAGCCTTTCTGTGTCCTCTACTTATCTTCTCTAGATGGAAAGTTGATCAATGTAATTTGCTTGAGTCCAGAAAGTACCCAGACCAAAAATGCTTCTTTCCCAAATGGAAACTTTAAAAAAAAATGCAATCCAACCATTTGTAGATGCGACCAACTGTTTTGAGGGGCGGCAACTTGATATATCCTTTTCCAACCCCAGGCCTGATTTTAGCTGCAGACCAGTTTTTGATCGTGACAGATAACATCTGTCCTGTTGATCTCCAAATTAGGGGCAGAAAATTTTTAACTCCCTATACCCATTTCAACACTAGCATCTAACGTCTCACCTGTTTCAAGAGAGTCAGCAAAAAGGGAGGAAGAATTACACGGCTTGGAGGCACTCCTGCTCCTGCCGCTGCTGGCCTCATAGGAAAGCAAGGATACTTGCATGTTTGGGCCTCCTCTGGCTCCGAATTATTTTCCCTCTGCCTTGACCTGGCTGCAAAGGCACAATGTCTTTCCTCACTGGCTGCCCATTTAAGATTATGTCTTCGGGACATGATGAGTATATGTATTAAGGATCCTGACTTATTAGGAAATGTACTGGAATTGTGTATAACTACTGGGATATTCTTCTCCCTTCCTGAACTGAACTTCATTTCATTGAATGTGTCAAACACATTCAAATGTTTTCTGATGTCTGAAGTTAAATGGCATTTCAGATGATCTCTACTCAGTACCCTGACGAGAGTTGGCATTCTGTTATTAAAAAAAAAGGTTCTTTATGTAAGATTGACTGACACCCTTTAGAGTTTTGATTAATCCAAGAATAGTACGGGATAGTAGGGAGTGCTTCTTTTTATTACTATATTAGAGTATGGCTATATCAGAATTTATTCTACTGGGTATTTTACTATTTCTGAAGCTGGCAGCTTGGTCTTTAGCAACAGACTGTTATAAGAAATGGATGTTATAATAATCTTGGGTTGAATTACAATCACTAGCTTAGCTTCCAATTGCAGCCAACTCGAATTAAAAACAGGTGAAGGTGGAAATACTCAGGTCAGACAGCATCTGTGTGAAGAGAAACAAAGTTAATGATTTAGATTCATGATATTTTTTAGAACTGTTTTTGTTTCTAATTTAAAGTAATTTACCTTTATTGTTCAATCATTTAGTCACCTCTTTTGGGGCAATAGTGGGTAGCACATGCACCATCAAAAACGGATTTTACAGGCAGGCCTTATTGTAAGTTTGTTTTAGCATTTATATCTTCACTGTACTTGAAGATCCGCACGATGGACTTTCCCAAAATAATTCAAGGTCCAATTCACATGCAGTGGTGCTCGAAGCAGTGAAGAAATTTTCTAATATTACAAAGGGATCTTGATCAATTGGGCCAACAAGTTGAGGAGTGGCAGATGGAATTTAATTTAGATAAATGTGAGGTGTTGCATTGTTATGGGACAAGCAAGGGTAAGACTTACACAGTCAATGATAGGGCCCTGGGGAGTTTTGTCGAACAGAGAGACCAAGGGGTTACTTATTATACTGTCTGTCACATGCACCTGCAGACACTGTCTCACTCTCTCACACTCACTGTCTCACACTCACTCACTCATTGTCTCGCTCTCGCTCTCTCTCACGCACTCTCTCTCTCGCGCTTGCGCTCGGGCTCTCTTTCGCCCTCCCTTTCACTCTCTCTCTGAGATAGTAAGAACTGCAGATGCTGGAGTCAGAGATAACACAATGTGGAGCTGCAGGAACACAGCAGGCCAGGCAGCATCAGAGGAACAGGAAAATTGACGTTTTGGGTCGGGACCCTTCTTCAGAAATGGGGAGGGGGAAGGGAGCTCAGAAATAAATAGAGAGAGGAGGGGTGGGGCTGGTGAAGGTAGCTGGGATGGTGATAGATGTATGCAGGTAGGGAGTGGTGGGGAATTGGTCAGTGAGGTGGGAGGAGCGGATAGGTGGGAGAGAAGATGGACAGGTTGTATCAGGTCAAGGAGGTGGGGATGAGAGGGAGTGTTAGTCATGGGATGAGGCCAGGGGTGGGGAGATTTTGATACTGGTAAAATCCACGTTTAGGTCATTGGGCTGTAGGCTCCCGAGGTGGAATATGAGGTGCTGCTCCTCCAGTTTGCGGGTGGCGTCATTGTGATACTGGAGACAGCCCAGGATGGACATGTCACCCAGGGAGTGGGAGGGGGAGTTGAAATGGTTCGCGACTGGAAGGTGTTGTCGTTTGTCACGAACTGAGTGCAAGTGCTTTACAAAACAGTCTCCGAGCCTCCGCTTGGTCTCACCAATGTAGAGGAGGCCACATCGGGAGCAATGGATGCGGTAGTTCACGTTGACAGATGTGCAGGTGGAACCCTGTCTAACGTGGAACGTTTGTTTTGTGCCATGAATGGAGGTGAGGGGGGTGGTGTAGGGGCAGGTGTAGCACTTCCTGCAGTTGCAGGGAAAGGTGCCGGGAGTGGTGGGGTTAGTGGGAAATGTGGAGCAGATGAGGGAGTCACAGAGAGAGTGGTCCCTGTGAAAGGCGGATAGGGTGGGGAGGGAAGTATATCTTTGGCTCTCGGGTCGGATTGTAGTTGGCAGAAGTGGCAGAGAATGATACTTTGGATATGAGATTGGTGGGGTGATATGTGAGGACAAGGAATATTCTGCCTTTATTTTTGTTGGGGGGAGGGAATGTGAGGATGGAGCTGTGGGAAATGCAAGAGTTGTGGTTAACGGCATTTTCAATCACTGGAGGGGGGAAGTTGCGGTCCTTGAAATTGCAGGACATCTGTGATTTGCGGGAGTGGAACGCCCCATCTTGGGAGCAGACATGGCGGAGGCGGAGGAATTGAGAGTAGGGGGAATGCGTTCTTGCAGAAGGTGGATGAGAGGAGGTGTAATCTAGGTAGCTGTGGGAGTCAGTGGACTTGAAATAAATGTCAGTTTCGAGGCAGCCACCAGAAATGGAGAGAGAGGTATCGGAGATGGTCCAGGTAAATTTGAGTTTGGGGTGAAAGGTGTTAGCTGGAGTCCAATTCTGCTGTTGTTGGCCCACAGCGTATCATGGATGCCCAGTCTTGAGTTGCAAGATCAGTTTGAAATCCCATTTAGCATGGTGATAGTGCCACACAACATGATGCAGGTTATTCTCAATGTGAAGGCAGGACTTCATCTCCACAAGTACTGTGCAGTGGTCACTTACTGATATTGTCATGGACAGATATATCTGCAGCTGGCAGATTGGTAAGGATGAGGTCAGGTATGTTTTTCCCTCTTATTGGTTCCCTCGCTATCCACCACAGACCCAGTCTAGTAGCTATGTCGTTTAGGACCTGACCAGCTCAATCATTAGTACTGCTGCCAATCCACTTTTGGTATGGAGGTTGAAATCCCCCACCTGGGGTACATTTTGTGTCCTTGCCGTTCTTAGTGCTACCTCTAAGTGTTGTTCAACATGGAGGAGTACCAATTTATCAGATGAGGGAGGACAATACGTGGTAATCAATAGGAGGTTTCCTTGCCCATGTTTAACCTGAAGCTATGAGACTTGATGGTGTCCAGTCAATTTTGAAGACTCTCAGGGCAACTCCCTCCCAACTGTATCCCACTGTGCCACCACCTCTGCTGTGTCTGTCCTGCTGGTGAGATGGGACATTTCCAGAGGTGGTGATTGTCGGTGTCTGGGGCATTATCTGTAAAACACGATTCCATGAGTATGACTGTGTCAGGTTGTTGCTTGACTAGTCTGTGAGATAGCTCTCCCAATTTTGGCACTAGCTCTCAGATGTTAGTGAGGAGGACTTTGCATTATCGACAGGGCTGTTTCTGCTGTTGTCTTTTCCATTGCCTAGGTCAATGCCAGGTGATTCGTCCAGTTTCACTTTTTTTGAGACTTTGTAACGATTGGTATAACTGAATGGCTTGTTTGGCCTTTTCGGAGGGTAATTGAGAGTCAGCCACATTGCTGTGGATCTGGAGTCACGGGTAGGCCAGACCAGTTAAGGATGGCAGATTTCCTTCCCTAAAGGACATTAGTGAACCAGAGAGGTCTTTCAGACAATCGATAATGATTTCAGGGTCATCAGTTGATTCTTAATTACAGATTTTTTAAAATTGAATTCTAATTTCACCATCTGCCATGGTGGGATTCAAACCTGGGTCACCAGAACATTACCTGGGTCTCTGGATTAATAGTCTAGAGGTAACGCTACTAGGGATTTACAACAGGAGTGAGAAAACATTGAAAGACATTGAGATAACAAGGTGTAGAGCTGGATGAACACAGCAGGCCAAGCAGCATCAGAAGAGCAGGAAAGCTGAAGTTTCGGGCCTAGACCCTTCTTCAGAAATTGGCTTGCTTTTGAGTTTAGAATACTTGATTGATTTTGACTTTGAAAAGCCAAGAGATTGGACAGCTATTGGTGGTTCAAAGGAGAGTTGTCTAAAGTCAGATCTCAGAATAGTCTCTCTTCCACAAAAAATATTCTTCAGAACTAATAAGGAAATAAGTGACCTTAGTGAAAGTGTAGTTTCTAAAACTTTCAGCTCAAGTATCTGGTTAAAAATCTGCTTGGTTATTCAAAGCTGAGAAAGTCCAAGATCTCAGTTGTGTATGGATTCAAGGAAAAGACTTCACTGCTTACAAGGCAGGAATTGAGGAAAAAAAATTAAGTCACACCTCCTGATTGATAGCAGCAAAATGCTGCTGATGCTGGAAATTTGAAATAAAAACAAAGTGTTGGAGAACTCAGGAAGTCTGGTAGCATTGGTGGAGAGAAAAACAGAGAGTCCATTAAAAGTCTTCAGAACTGAAAAGGGTTGGAACGTTGTTTTTTTATGCTGTAGACAGAGGGGAGGAGGAACAAGTAAAACAGATCATAAGCATGCTGAATAAAAGTCAAATGTTTGCTAATGGTGGCGAAAGGAAGATGGAGGATTAAAAATGGAGCAAATGAAGGTCCGAGAAGGAGAAAACGGATCAGCTGTGCTGAGAGCAGAGTATGTGTTGTGGGTGGATTGGGAGGGGTGGGTGCTGCTGGACCATAGGGTGTAAGAAGTGTAAAGCATACAGAGGTCATGCTCTGAAGTTGTGGAATTCAGTATTGAGGCTGTCAAGGGCCTATGTGTAAAATGAAGTGGTTTCATTCTAGCTTGTGTTCTTCGTTAGAACACTGTAGCAGGTCCAGGACGAAATTTGTTTAAATGGGACCAAGGTTTATTGAAATAGCTTATGCATTAATAAGGCTTGATTACCTCCCATCAGAGTCATAGCATATCTCATAGCTCTCATGCATTCAGTGAGGCAGGCATGTCTGACAACTTTCATGCACTCAGTGGTATGCTTCTCTTTTGCTCTCTTATAGGCAGGACTAAGGTGAGCCATAATAGATGACAACAGCAACAAGCTGGCGTGAACAGGCACAGTCATATGAACTGACCCCTGTGGAAGAAATGATGCTGGTGATAATTGGGGTGGCCATCACTGAGGCAGTGGTCAGTTATGTCAATGAAGCCACCCAAGATGACAATACATTCCTACCTAATTTACCCTCTCAAATTTTATGTTACCACCATCCCATATCTTCCATGACTTCTAAGCTCTCTGGGGAACCGGGAGTAGTAGCTAAGAGCAATCATGCACCTCTTGCTGCCTGTACATCCCTCAATACAAACCTTTCCTTTTACAACAATACTTTATTAACCAAGAACTGCAGTGTGGAATGGTGTCTTGAGGCCAAAGATTTGGGAGGAGCAGAACATTGAAAAAGGAAAACTATTTGATGATTATAGCTACCAGCTCAGGTACTATAACACTGCTTGTAGCTTTTAAGTGGTATAGAGTTGGGATCTGTACATGGTGAATCACTGAGTGTGAATGGGTTGCTGTCAGACTGGTGACGGGGCGGGGAGAGTGTTAGTCTGTGTGCCAGCTCTGCAGAGGGCAAGTTTGCATGTAAGTTCTGCTGACAGGACTCTGGTAAGTATGTTGTTGTGACATGCAGGAACATGCTGATGGGAATGACAACAGTTATGCTTGGTGCATTAGCTGGCCTTCCAGCCAGTTTGTTCTCACTGCCAAGGAGCAGGAATCGTCCAGCAGAGACTTTAGAACCCGACCTTTGTGGTGTGGAAATGGTGGCCTTCTCCATGAGTGCATTTGTGGACCACACAGAGGAGGGAAAGCAGGCAGGTGGTGGAGTGAGCGGAAATGAGTGACAATCTCTCCATGACCTACAAACCATCTGTTTTCTCAAAGGATTGCTTCTGCTGCAACTTATCAGCCAGTCATCCTATGCAGTTGTTGCCCATGGCTAAGGTTGTGCTGCCCTAAGCAAGAACTAAAGTTGCCAGAGGGCATCCTATAAGGCCATCTGCTGCTTCCCCCAGTACAAGTCAATTAACTTTCACCAGCTATGCTACAGCTTCTGGAGTAACTACATAGGAGCAGTATGACAGGGAAAGCAGTAAAATGCTGGTCTGACGCAGTGGAAGAGCTTTTCTGGGACTGCTTAGAATTGGTGGACTGGACCATATTCAAGAATTCAGCAGACAACCTAGTCGAGTACGCCACCACTGTCATGGACTTCATTAGGAAGTGTGCAGAGGACTGCATGTCAAAGAAGTCAATCTGGGGGTGCCCCAACCAGAAACCTTGGATGAAACCAGAAATCCACTGTGTGCAGCATTTCAAGTTGGACGACCCAGGCCTATTACAGAAGATCCAGATATGACCTCTGCAAGGCCATCAGTGACGTCAAGAGGCAGTACTGGACCAAGTTAGAGCCCCAAACCAACCATACAGACTCCTGCTGCCTATGGCAGGGCCTACTCAATATAATGGGACACAAAAAAGAGGAGCAAGATGGCAGATAAAAACACATCCCTCTCTGATGCACTCAATGCTTTCTGTGCTCAGTTGGAGCAGAATGCCAGCGGCGTGATGTCATCTGTTCTGACAGCCCCGGATGCACCTGTTCGCTCTGTCACAGATGTCAGATCGATCTTCTGGAGAGCCAACCTAAGGAAAGTGATGGGCCAGGATGGAGTCCCCAGCCCTGTACTTAGATCCTGTGCAGATCAGCTGGTGGAGGTATTTGCTGATATCTTCAATCTTTACCTTTTACAAGCCACCACCTGCTTCAAAAAACCCCATCATTCCAGTACCAAAGAAAGCACGTGCAATGTGCCTTAATGACTACCACTCAGTGGCTCTGAGCTCCATAATCATGAAGTGCTTTGAGAGGCTGGTCATGGCCTATATCAACTCTAGCCTCCAACCAGACTCAATTCCCTGCAATTTGCCTACCGGTGAAACAGTTCCATAGTGGATGCTATTTCCCTAGCCCTACATTCATCCTTGAGACCTCTGGATAACAAGGATACCTGTGTCAGGCTCCTACTCATCAACTACAGCTCCGCCTTCAACACCATAATCCCCTCCAGACTAATGTTAATACTCCAAGTCCTAGGTCTCGGCTCTGCCCTCTGCAACTGGATCCTCTGCTTCTGACCCACAGACTGCAGTCAGTGAAGATAGAGAACAGCACCTCCTCCATGATAACCCTAAACACTGGCGCCTGGCAAGGATGTGTTCTCAGCCCTCTACTATACTCCCCGTACATCTACGACTGTGTTGCCAAATTCTGAACAAACGCCATCTACAAATTTAAAAACTGAAAGAACTACAGATACTCTAAAACAAAAACAGAAGTTGCTGGAAAAGCTCAGTAGGTCTGGTGGCATCTATGAAGAAAGATCAGCATTAACATTTTGGCTCCGGTGATCCTTCCTCAGAACTGATGGTAGCTAGAAAAATGTCGATTTATGTGCAGAAGATAGGCAGGGGAAGGGTAAGGAGTAAACGATAGGTGGAGATAAAGTCCAAAGAGAGAGAAGAACAGTCGGATAAACAAAGGAGTTGATAACGATCTGGCTAGGAGGGTGAATAGCTGTTAATGGGGAGTGTTAGTGACTAACAATAGACAGTGTGTAATGGCAGCCTATGTGATAACAAGGCCTGGTGTGTGGGGTAAGGGGTTAGGACGTGGGAGAGTTCAGGCCTAGAAATTATTGAACTCGATATTGAGTCAGGAGGGTTGCAGGGTCCCCAAGTGGAAAGTGAGATGTTGTTCTTCCAACTTACACAGTGCTTCGCTGGAACATTGCAGTAAGCCTGAGGTGGAAAGGGAACAGGGTGGTGTGTTAAAGTGGCAGGCAAATGGAAACTCAAGGTCATCTTGTGAGCAGAATGTAGATGCTCTGCGAAGCAGTCACCCAGTCTACGCTTCACTTCCATGATGTTGAGGAGACCACATTGTGAGCAGCGAATGCAGTAGACGAGATTATGGAAAGTGCAGGTGAAGTGCTGCTTCACCTGGAAGATATGTTTGGGCCCTTGGATACTGGGGAGGGAGGAGGTAAATGGGCAGGTGTTACGCCTTTGGTTGCAGGGTTACTGTGGGGCTGTGGGGGGATGTTGGGGAGTGAAGGAAGAGTGGACCAGGGTGTCCCAGAGGAATGGTCCCTGCGGAAGGCGGACAAGGGAGGGAAGGGGAATGTGTGTCTGGTGGTGGCATCGCGCTGGAGTGGTGGAAATCGCGTCTGATGATTGTCTGGATATGGATGCTGGTGGGATGGTAGGTAAGGACAAGTGGAACCCTTTTGCTATTGTGTGAGGGAAGATAGGAGGTGAGGGTGGAAGTGCGGGAGATGGGTCGGACCTGGTTGAGGGCCCTGCCAACAAGGAGGAAGAAGATGAACATTTCAGAGGCTGCCTAATCAAAGTTGGCTTCGTCTGAACACACACGACGGAGACGGAGGAACTGAGAGAATGGAATGGAGTCTTTACATGCAGCAGGATGTGAGGATATATAGTCCAGGTAGCTGTGGGAGTCTGTGGGTTTATAGTGGATATTAGTTGTCAGTTTGTCCCCAGAAATGGAAAAAGAGATGCTGGGGTCGGGGGGGCGGGGGAAGAAGGGAGGAGTCAGACAGACCAGGTGAAAGTGAGGGCAAGGTGGAAATTGCAAGTAAAATCAATGAACTTTTCCAATTCCGTACAAGAGAGGGAAATAGCACTGATGATATCGTCGATACATCAGAGAAAAAGTTGTAGGTGGGGGCCGGAATAGGACTGCAACAAGGAATGTTCCATGTACCCCATGAAGAGACAGGCCCCTGCAAGTACCGATGGCCATCCCTCTGACATGAAGAAAATGAGAGGAGTTAAAAGAGAAGTTAAGGGTGAGGATGAACTCAGTCAAGTGGAAGAGGGTGGTGGTGGGTAGGGATGGTTCAGGCCTTTATTCCTTGAAAAAACTGAGAATCCCACGACCATCATGGTGGGAGATGGACGTGTAAGGGGATTGCACATCCATGGTAAAGAGGAAGTGGCTGGAGCCTACAAACTGGAAATTTTGAAACTGGCGTAAAGCATCAGAGGAATCACGGGTGTACATGAGCAGGGACAGTAGGAAGAGATGAGTTCTGTGGGGCAGGAGCAGACTGAAACGAAAGGTCTGCCCAGGCAGTCCTGTTTGTGGATTTTTGGGAGGAGGTAGAAGCAGGCTATGCAGAGCTGGGTGGCTATCAGCTGAGAGGCAGTTGGGGTGTGGGGGTGGGGTTGTGGAGATCACCAGATGAAATGAGGTCAGTTGCCGTAGTTGATACAATGGCGTGATGTGCCATGGTGGGGGTCATGGTCTTAGGGGAAGATAGGAGGAGATATCTGAGAGCTGCTGCTTAACCTCTGCAATGTAGAGGTCAGTATGCCAGACTACAATAGCACCACCCTGATTGGCAGACTCAATACCAAAGTCAGAGTTGGAACTACAAGTTTGCGGACTTATCAAACACCGATGAAGCAAAATATAGGAAGGAGATAGAGTACTTGATGTTGTGGTGCAATGATGACAATCCCTCTCTCAATGTCAGCAAGAAGAAAGAACTGAGCATTGACTTCAGGAAGAAAGGAGGAGGACACACCCATCTACATCAATGGAGCTGAGATGGAGAGGGTTGAGAGTGTCAAATTCCTAGGAGTGACGATAACCAACAATCTGTCCTGGATCTCCCACGTAGATGCGATGGTTAAGAAGGCATAACAATGCCTCTTCTTCCTCAGGCGGTTAGAAAATTCAACATGTCCATAATGATGCTAACCAAGTTTTACAGATGCACCATAGAAAACGTTCTATCTGGGTGCATAATGGCCTGGTACGGCAACTGCTCTGCCCAGGAGTGTAAGAAACTACAGAGAGTTTTGTGCATAGCCCAGACCATTAAGGTAGCCAATTTCCCATCCATTGACTCCATCCCATATACTTCTCGTTGCCGTGGAAAGGCTGTTAAGATTGTCAAAGACCCCTCCCACCCAGTAACGCTCTCTCCCAATCTCTTCCGTCAGGCAGAAGATACAGAAACTTGAACACACACACCAACAGGTTCAAGAACAGCTTCTTCCCTGCCGTTATTAGACTGTTGAATGGACCTCTCTAACTTCAAGTAATGATCTTGTTTTGCGCACCATCTGTGCAGTCGTAACATTGTGTGTCTCGCTCTGTCTAAGCACCCTATAATCTGTACGTCCTTGTTTGCTATGATCTCCCTCTACTGCTCGCAAAACAAAGCTTTTCACTGTACATAGGTACATGTGACTACAATCAAATCAAATGCACCCATTTGATAGGCATTAATTAAACACGAGTGATCAGTTGAGAAGGGCATGGATTATTGGACGTTCTGTTGGATAGTAAGTTTAAAATGGTGGTGTCTTTTGTTTCAGGATTGTGGCCAAGAGGATGCCGTGATGGCCCAATATAACAGGTTGGTGCGTGGGGAAGGAGATTCTGAGTTGTTTGATCAGCTCACAAAAAGTCCATCTACAAAATGGATGTACCATCTGTTTGTTCTCTTCTTCCTCCTGTTTCCTCGTCCTGAGGTGCTCACCATTAGTCTCATGACAAAAGATGTGCCCATAAGGTGCCCAGATTGTGGGAGCAACTGCAGACTACAGTTTGGTAGACTGCTTCAATGTGTACAGGAGGGCTCCCCTCAACCAGTCCAGGAAGAACTGTTTCTGCTACAGCACCCTGATTGTCTGTTGTACGGTGTTCCTCTAGGCATCATATCTCTGACGATAGTGCTGGGCCTGGCATGGCAGGCTTGGGGAAGGAAGATGTCTGTCTGCTAGATGGACAGGAGGTAGTTCTTGGTGCTGAGCAGCACCCGCCCCCACAACCTCTCCCCAGGTATATTGATTGCCACAACCCATGTTATACTTGTCTATGGACTTTATTAGTATTAAAGGGGGAAATTTAAACATGAATTGGTCTTTGATTAGAAGGGACGTGTCCTTGCATAAAGAGAAGTAATTTATTAAACAGTAGTAAGATAACAGGTTACATCAGCCTAAGACTGGTTAACTACATTGCCACTGAGTGAAAAGTATGGTTATTTCCTAACTCTGTATATGCTACATGGTTTTGATTATGAAACTGACCTACAGTTAACAGCAAACTATAACAACTGATTAACTTCTCCCAGAGACCATAATCTATATATCAGAGGGCAGAGCTATTCAAATACTTGAGTTAATTTTTTCTGACTATCTGCCTTATATGAAAGGTAATGCCTTCAACTTCTCCCTTTATCCTTCCTGTGAGCATTTGGTCTTTTCTGCTGCCTCTGCTCAATCTCCATTGATGCTCTATCTAAAGCAGAACTGCTGCTATTGCCCACAAGACTAGGATTAAAAGGTGTCTGTAGGAACCCTTCAGGATCTCACAATTACTTCTGAATGTCCAGCCATTCTCTTTGCAGATTTAAAAGTCTTCTCACAGCTCGTCCAACAAATGTGGTACAGAATCAGAAAATAGATAGCTGAAAGCACTTCACCTGTGAGTTGGAGAATGATGCCTGTAGATGGACTTGGCGGCAAGGTGTCTGATGCTGCAAGAACACATGTTCAGCTGTGCGTATAATGGACAGAGCATTGACAGGAATGGCAAGGTCCAAACTGGCAGATTA